TGGAAAACGGTGTCGTAAACATGTAAAATTTTGGGGGATTCAGCGAACTCGGAAGTGTACCAGTGGAAATGGGTGGGAAAAACGGAGGGCTTCAAGAAATGGTCGACGCGGAAGATGAAGGTCTTCAATGTCGAATCGGCGGAAACCGTCCACAGAAGGAAGACGAAGAACAAAGGAAGAGAAATGGCGGAAAAAGCGGCCATTAGAGAGGGAAGTGGAAAATGGCAGTGGTGCCGACAGGGGAAATTTGGGGGAAAATATAACAGAGAAGATTGTTAGCCCTCTTAATTAAATTTAAGCAAGGAAATAAATAAATTAGGATTAATTTTAATTGATAAAAAGGAATTTTGTGATGTTCAATTTGTCGTCAAAGAAGATTTGATGAGTCAGCTCCTTTGGGTGGGGGACCGGAGGAAAGTACACTCAGATTTAGTTCAAACGACATCGTTTCGTCGAATATTATTAAATATATATTTTCCATCGTGGAATTTCAACCATTTAAATTAGCAAACAAATCAAATGGAAAAAAATAAAAATGCTAGGGAAAAGAAAAAGGAAATCCGAAAGTAATGGTGCGTGGAAATCGAGGGGTTGCTTTCATGAATTTCTAAAATTGGATGGGTGTTACAGAAATTATTGAAAAAAGGGGGGGTGAAAAAGTGGAATAATAGCTTGCGCATCATGATTAATCATAGCCGTTGGATCGTGGGGTTCACATATCAAAAAAAAGCCCATCAGATGGAATCGAATAATAACAACAGTAAGTGACAGGCCTTTGGCTGAATAAACTCTCTTTATATTTTTAAAAACCTTACCGCTAATCATGATTAGTATCACGCATTATTAATTGAATGATGAATTCTAATTAAATTTTCGGGATTTGTTCTCTTACCAACTTATACGGTAACAAATCATTATAAATCTCAAAGCGAACCTAACTAAACGGTAATTAGCATATGTCTCCAACTAAGAGGTTAAGAGGTTGTAAGTTCGATCATGATCAAATTATTAAAATTTTAAATTTAAAGGATGAAATTATTATATATTAAAGTTCAGAGACTAAATTGTTACTAATTTGAAAGTATAGAAGTTAAATCGTTACACATTAAGTTCATGGATTGAATCGTTACTTTAACAAAGTATAAAGATCCCACGTATTTTTCAACCTTTTAAATATAATATAAAATTTGTTGGTATGTCTATATCTTGTGATAATAGATTAAGGTTTGTTTGTTAATTTCATTTGTGCTCTTGTTGAAAATTTTATTTTAATTCATGTGTCTCATTTTGTAAACAAATTTGGGAATCTTCTAATCTCATAATTCTGATTTATAAAATAATAAATTTGAATGCTTTTTTTCTTTTTATAACTAATAAATTAGAATGTTACGGAAGGATACATTCTCAAATGAATTGAATGAATTTTTAATGGATGAAATTGCACAAACTACTGCTAAAGTATGATAGTATGATAATTGCTATCATTGCTCTTATAAGTTTTTAGTTGTAAAAATTAAATACTAAAACTTTCATAGATGAAACAATTAGACTTTTAAACTTTCAATGGTAAAAAATTAAAAATTAAACTTCTCTTTACATCCACCCTCTTTCTACTTTCAAAAAATTAATCTAGTTGGAGGATTAGTTAGTTTTTATCAAAGTTTACCATTTTTAAACATTACCACTTAAAGTTTAGGAGTCTAAAGCTTTCATCGGGTTAAATTTGTACAATTAAAAGTTTAAGAGTTTAAGAGTGTAATTGTAATAAATGAATGTGCAATTTTCCCACCCATTTTTCTTAAATGCATATATATAAACATGGATATTCGATGAGTTATAGACTAATGTACATAATTTAGGTATGATAGTTGGTAGGTAGATTGGATATAATGTGTGATGACTGATGGTATTAGATTCTTCATGAAAATTAGGCTTCAAATAACTTTAATATTGTGATATATTTAGTAAATTTAAACACCATTCTTTAACATTTGTTTTTCAACTCTAACCTTGATACTCTTTTAGTGTCACATAAAAGAGGAATGACAATATTAAATACAAAATATAGGACCCCAAGCAAAATGTACACTTTTTAGAAAACAACAAACTTTGTAATTGTTCACCCTTTTTCTTTTCTCATATTGTTTTATATTTTATTTTTTAAAAATGATTGCATGATGCACTTGATTGATGTCTGATATAAATGTTAATTAATTAAGCTACATTTGCAATGATTTTGAATGCTAGACACGACTATAAATTTTGATATAGCTACGTAATGATAGATGCAAAAGGAATGAATTTATAATGTTGCTGTGTTTTGTCGGAATCTGAGATCTCTGTGGGATCGACATACAAATTCTCGTCTTTGTTTGATAGGAATGTTAGATACCCGAACATTTAAAAATGTTCGACATCTTAGGAGATGCCCTCCTATAACGTGGGTTTTTAAAATTCCCATATCGATATCATCGTTTTTGACAATTTTGTCTCTCATCATTTTTGTCCTATAATATTTTTTTCATCAATAAATAAAAAATAAAAGTATCCTCTAATTCATTATAAATGTCTAACTACAATTTTATTTATATGCTACATTTGTATATAAAATAAATATTAGTCAATAGTATAATATCTTAATTTATTTAATTCAAATTTAGTGTGTAATATTTCATTTATTTTACTCTTCTAATAGTAACCAAAGATAAATTAAAATTGACATAAAAATATAATATTAAATTAATAAAAATAAAATTTTTATATGAATTCAAATAATAGTAAATTTAATATCTAAATTATTTGATGGCCGATAAGAGCATTTTTGGAACGTTACATAAATTTGCAATATTTTAACGAATAAATCCTGCAAAAAAAAATGTAACCATCAGAATATTCCTAGATTTCCTTATAAATATTCCTACAAAACAAACGTGTCTATATTAAATTATAGACATCTAAAATTCTGGACATATGAGATTCCAGGCATCTAAAGGTGCCAAACATCTACATTTCCAAAAAAATAAACAATCCGCTCATGTATTTGATTTATGGGTTTATAATTTAGAAGAATTAGTGTGTTGTGAGTGTTGATACAGAAATTTGGCTCCTTGGCGATCTACCAAATTCACGCTAATCTTCAAGAATGAAAAAGGATCAACGTCAACCTGCAAAACCAAATAACCCTAAATACCGGCGTGAGTTTTACCATACAGACTCTGATGCTTAAGGCAAAATCTGAATAGTCGAATAAAAGAAGCAGAGTATTTTGGCATACCTTTAGGGTTTGGTTTACCCTCCTATTCATAGAAATTGAATCCTAATACCGCTAGGAAATCATGTCTTCTAGGCTTTACCTATTTTGTAGTCGACCATCGATTAGATCGTGGACTGTTGGTCCATTTAGGCTGGGCTAAACGGGATAGTCAGAGAGGCCCTGCTGGATTTATCGGCCACCGACAGAAAACTGCTCGGCGCCAAGCCGAGGTCGGCCCTAATCGATATGGGCTTTTCGACTCCTTCTTGCTTAGTTTGTATAGTTGGACTTTATCTTCGATCCAATTTAAGCCTGTTGTCATTTTGCCGAGCCTTATTTATTCGGCCTATAACATTGAGCATTAATGTAAATCTTAGAAAAGCAAAAATCTCAAACAGATGCAAGCATAAAAGCTAAATCTCTAAACTCAAAACCCTTAGCTCCATGAAATTGATAAGGGAGGAAATCATTTAAAAAATCATCTAATTACTCAATTGAACAATTAATATATCAAATTGGTGTAGAACAATAAATGTGGGATGATGATTTGAATCTTCTCCCTTAAAAAGGTAGTAGATACTTCAACTCGTGATATATATTATGATACTTGGTATTAAGAAAATTGTAACAATAGACAAAACTAATAAATTGGGGTTGTAAAGAGTGTAAATAAAATCCTGATGAAGACAATTATATTAATATTTTAGATAAAATCAAGATTAAATCGATGGGCCAAAACAAATAACACCATACTACTATTAATTTAATTGAGTATTTCTCGGAGGGTCCTAGATTCAAATCATACCTTCTTATAAGATAATAACTTGAAAAGGGCACATTGAAATTTGAAACCGCAAAGGGTCAAAATGAAAATATAGATGGAAGTGTGGAGTGGAGATTGGAGAGTGATTAGGCACGCGCGGAGAAGCGCGTGGCATAAGAAGGCCTGCATTTTGTTTTTTTCTTTGGCAAAAGCAGGGAACATAACTGAAGATAAGAACAGGAGACGAGATCCTCTGCTATTGGTCGCATTTTCCACTATCACGTTACTTGTAATCCAACCGTCTATTGCGACGCGGGCTTCTCACAAAGTCCAAAATTCCTCTAAATGGACGGTCCTGATCTGCCATTGGATGCCTCCTCGTGGCCACGTGGAAAACACGCGATCGTAGGTTATTGCCTGCAGTGGGTCCCACTACCGGTTAGATATTTTAAGATTTTTTAAATATTAGCTGGAAAGTTGGTCAAATGTTTCCTCCGTGTTTGGCGCTAGTTAGTTTAATTTTTATTATTATTAATTTATTTCCCAGTAAATTTTTTAGAAAGCGATAATAAATAAATAAAGGCTACTTATCTAGGAGGGAGAATGAAAAAGAAAAAGAAAAAGGAAAAAAAAAAAAAGCCAAAATTGTGGATGATTCTAAGGTAAATGACATAAAATGCAGTTCTTAAAATAAATAGGCTACTCACTTTTTTTTTCTTAAAATAAATAAGAAAAATAGTAATTAACAAGGATCGAATTCACAATCTCAATTGGAGATATTTGCCAATTACCACCGCTTTTACTGACTTTTTGAATTATGAAAAATTAAGAACTCTAATCATCCGCTCCACCTTTTGGTAGAGGTGATATAATTAGATTTAATAAATATTAAATAATAAAATAGATATGGTTTCATAAGTAAAAATATTTTTATGGCGATTAACTAATTTAATTGATTTAGAGTCATGAACTAACTTGAACATAATTGGACACTCCACATGTTTGTACCAAAAAAAAATTGATCTAGATTTATTTTGGTTGCATTTTTGTAGTATTTTTCTTTTTTACTTTTCTAATCAAGTTTATTTTATTATTATATTTAAGAATATCCATTAAATATGGATATTTTGAGGCCCACGACATCTCTGCTGTCAAATCACATATAAAAATGGGCCTCCAGGGTAAAGCACGAAATCATATTTGTTTTGGGCCTCTATGAGGGCCCAGTAATTAAATTAAAAAAGGGCCTATATAAAACCTTTATAAGATGAGAATTTTTCTCTTAAGAAAAGCCATTATACATCATCTTATTAACAAATTTGCCCCTTAAAAGTAAATATTTTCGTTTGTATATATACCTTTTAACTAATTTAATAAAGAATCAAATTATGTTCTCATCCCTTTATATTAGTAATTGATTATGACTCCAAATTTCCAAATTTTCAAAACTTCAACCAAATCACATATTGAAATTTTATCTACATAAATCATATTGAAGCAATAAATTTAAGATAACTAAACATCGTGAAAATGTATCTAAACATCATAATTTTATTTAATTGATTGGAAATCAAGAAGTTGACTCTCTGGCCTCCAAATCAAATCTTCCTCCAAAAATTTGTTATACTAAAAAAAGAAAATTATATTGCATAATACATAAGTAGTAATGTTTCAATATGATAAATAAAAAAGAGTGATTTGCCGAAGAAATGAAATTTTCAAAAAAATTATCGGTAAAACTATAATTAAAGACGTATTCGCACTCTTGAATTCTTAATCTAAACAATTACTTCCTAGACTGACAAATTAGGTGCAATTAAGTTCTATTTCAAACACTTCAAAAAAAAAAAAATTCCTAGTTCTAACATACGAAAGTAAATTAATCATTTTTATTAGTACTTTTTTAATCTATAAAAAGAGATATTTGAAGGAATATTTCTACTCGGAATCATGTGTGTGTAATGTAATATTGGTGCCACATTTTGGCTTGCTTTCTCAACTTGTATTATTAATGATACAAAATATTTTTCTTATGATATCAAGCAAAAAAAAAAAATAATAATAATAAAAAACAAACATTTCTATTATGATGTTGAGAACGTGAAAATAATCCCACACTAACTAAAATAAGATTTCACGAGATTAGATAGAAATCTATGTTGGAAACGTGAACATTAGTCTAAGGTGGATTAGAAGTATAGAAAATTCATAGTACTTATTTTGATTTGGATTTTTATATATCCACTCATATGGTACTTCATCTACAATATATATAAGATCCATATGTATAAACATCATCATCTACATGTAGAAAGTCGTATACTTTGAGAAGTTTGCATGAGAAGAGATTTTGATTGATCAAAAAGATTTGTTTTTTCTTTTGAATAAAAGGAAGATTTATCACATACGAATAAAAGACCACATCTATAATTCCTTAAAGATCTTTGAAGTGAAACTACAAACAAAACTAGAGACTCAAGTTTAAACTACAAATTTTATATCACGTGGAAATATGATAGGTCTATGCGGATGGAAAAAAAAGCATTTTTTTTAATTGAAGATTACAACGATACATATATAATATTGAAATAAGCTTTCTTTTGTTTTTTTTTTTTTTTTTAATTTCTTTCGCGTATATGGAAAAAACAGCGGGAAAATGATATGATTAAATTCCAAAAATAACACTATGGATGTTGTATGTATGTTTATTTACTCTGCAACAAATTACAAGAGATGGGAAAATAAATATAAGAATAAAGATAATTCTGAATTAAAAAGTTTTCACGTTAACTTCATATGGAAAAAGATGCTTTTTTTCAGTGTCTTTAAGGTCCCTTACATTATTATTAATTTTTCTTTTTCTTTTTCTTTTTTTATTGCCAAAAAAGAAGTACCATCGCTGTTCTTTCTCCTTCTTCCCCAGCCCCTCTAACACATTTATGTTCCAAAGTCATTTTCCGTGATTACCCACCGTGCAATAATGCCTCATTTCGTCCTAAATAAAATCATACATTATCTTAAAAGAGTTCCAAAAAATTGATTATAAATATTTCATCATTAACCTGAGTATAGCTCACATGATTAAGACAAAGATCATGATTTCGAATTCCCTCCACTCGTAATTATTTTATGTAGTCATCTAATTTATTAATATGACATAAATTTAATTATTTATATAACGTTCAAAAGTATGTTTGAGCCAAAACGAGGTAATTGGTATATATTTCAAACCACACCTCATATATTATACTCGAAACAAAAGTTTATATCTTATTACGAGTTAATTAGTAAATCTCTAGGACTATATAAACTCAAATTTATAAAACCTAAGGTCTATATATTAAATTTACTTAATAAATAAAATATCTCCTTTTTAGATTTTTTTTTTCTTCTCAGAGGTGTAGTTCTATTCTTGAAAATAGTGATAAATAATTGCCCAAAGTGTATGAATCAAGAAATGGTCAGGTGTCTCCAATCAAGTGGGGAAGGGTAAGTAAAAAAGCAAAAGGATAATATATATAAATTAGAATCTGCAAGATTAAATTAAACATTACATAAATTATCAGCTCACCTGTTCAAGATTAAAGCCAATACAGAGAAAAGGGGCTTTAATACAATTGTCCTCAACATTAGAAGATATATATATATATATATTTTTTCTTTTACTTACAACATTAGTGCCCAAAATCAAAATCTAGAAATCCAAAGTAAAAGAGAGAGTGAACAAACAAGAAATAAAAAGCAGACAATAACTATATGGTTGGAGTGGTCATTCATTATTTAAAAACAAAGTAAAAAAAGATGCCTAAAGATCGATGATTAGCTATTTTTTCTGATTATTATTATCTATTTGGCTCTGTCCTTGATCACATCCATCCCCATCTCAGTCGGATCGGTGGCTTGGACTTCGTAATGGATACCTTCCAGCACTCCCCTCAGCCCAGCTTTTGAAGTTGCGTATAGAATTTTCGCTCTAATTCTTGATGCGGTGGGCGACCTGCACCAAACCAAACCAAGCCAATCGGTTTCAGATTCAGATCCATCCTCCAAATCCTTGGAGTTTTTCCTATTTCAGAAAAATAAATATATAGTCGCGATTGCCAATTTCTTGTACAAAACGAACAATCATACATCATCGGTTAGAGAAATTCGACTTCCGATTACGAAAGAACGTGCTATTGTGCTGCTTTGAACATCTAACTAGACTCTGTAACATGATATGCAGTAGTGAATTAGAGATTATGAATTTGAGGAGGATTTCAATCGAAGTTATCAGAATTCCGGCCCGAAATGAAGTGTGTATTGCAAGATTCAAGTGATCAGAGTGGATTAAATCAGCAGCGGTTAGATCATGAAACGAAGAAGGGATGCGATAGACGAAAAGCAGAAAAAGATTCGAGAAAAGTAACAGACCACGCGATGAAGAAGATCTTGCTCTTCCGGCAATTATCAACGGTGACGAAGTCGAAATCGAACACCGCATATCGACAATCGTCGGTCGGCAATGAGGCGGTGAGATCATCGTAGCTTTCGGCCGGACCGCCGACCTTATCGACGGTGACTAACCTCGATCCTTCGTCAATCTTAAACACGATATACCTATGCACCTTCTTCCATTTCATTTCCATGAACGAATTCTTGCACTCATCGCTCACCCACATTCCAGTGGTTGCCTGAGATCATATCCGCCATTAGCAAAATCAGAACCAAAAATTCCAGAGAATCGAGAAACAAAAAAAGAAAAGAGAGTATGCATTCGATTGCATAAATCGGTACCATCTTGAAAGCCATAGCCATGGTGAGAAATCTCTCGTCGGGGAATACTCTGAACTCTGAAACTCTGAATTTTGACTACCGTGACTGAGAGTGAACCGGGTCGGGGCCTTTATATAAAGATCGCCTCACCAAAATGCCCTCATTAATTCACCATAATTACATTTTTTGTCCCTCCATCATCTACCCATGTGTGAACCAAAAATTTCAGCACCATACCCACTTAAAAACTAGTGTGGGACCATTAAACATCAAATATAATAATAATAATAACAATCTAAGCTTAAATATGGAAATATTTTATTTTTTTCAGTACAAATATTGTATTATACTTAATAATTGTTGAATTAAATATTAAGAATTGTGGGCTTGAAGAATAAGATTAGATTTGACCTAAATAATAGTATATTTATTACATAATAAAACATTTTTAAAAATGGCATAAATGTAACCATCCATAACAATTTAGTCCATATGCTTTTAATAATTTAATCATTAAATTTTAATATTCAACCATTTAGTTACTATAGTTTAAAATTTGTAACAATTTAGTCCTTGAACTTTAATATGTAACAATCTAATCTATATAGTTTAAAATTTGTAACAATTTAGTTCCTACCACGAAAAATCTCATCAAAATTAAACGTTAATTTTTATGATTTAATTTTTGTAATTTATAAATAAATTTGATCTTTCATCGGTTTATTAATATTAATATATAAGAATTTTTAACAAAAAATTTCTAACTCGTTACCAACTTTAAACTTCAAAGACAAAATTATCACAGACTAACTAAATTGTTAGTAATTTGAAAGTACAAGGACTAAATCATAATTTTTGAAAGTTAGGAATTAAATCGTAGTTTTGAAAGTTTAGGAACTAAATTGTTACTCAAAGGAAAGTATAAGTACAAAAACTGTTTCTTAACCTATATTTTACCTTACATTTTATATATGTGAGAGAAATTTTGCCATATTTACAAATTAGTTTTCGATGTAATAAATTTATAAATATGAAGTTAGCTAATAATTATTTATTCTATTCAATAAATAATCAGATTGTTTAAATAAAATATGGGATTTTCTTAGCAAAATAAAATATGGAGTTGAAGATTAAAATAAAATGATAAATGATGAAATAAGTGATATCTACAAAGCAGTACTCATACATTTAATTTCAATGATTATATGTTATGTTAATAATTTGATAATCTCTCTTCAAAGGAGTATGGTACAGACAGAATGTAGCATCCAATAGCAATATCCTATTATGGTCTCATCAATTATGTCTCATATTATGGGAACAAGTTTTAAAGCTATCAATTATGGTCTAGTAAAAAAATATTGTAAGAATACACTATATAAAAACTGAGATAAATAAATAAAAATGGTGAAACATATTTTTACTTAATTTTTAGTGTAAAAAGTTGAAAAGAAATTGGTTCCAATTATTTGGCAAAACTGTTTGGAAGTAAGAAGAGAAGTGATGTGAGGAGGTGATTTTAATATTTATGGAACTCAAGTCAGCATCATCTTCATAAATACAAGAAATTTGTTGTTTTACCTTCATCCCCATTCTATTGTCTTCATCAACTTTATACCAAACAACGACTTTAGTTATTGTTTGTGACCTATGATATACCAAATTGTATATGTTACCCTCAGCTTGATGCCAAAGCGAGCATAGCTCAGCGGTAATTGTATATATCTCCAACCAATAGATTATGAGTTCGATCCTAATGCAATTCATTTGCTCTACGAGACTACATATCAATTCAAACTCTTAATAAGACTAGGGCTAGGGCGACTCATTCTATTCTTTCTGAGGTCAGGGATGAAGCGTCTAGCTTATTTTTCATCACATTTCCATTAAAAAATTTCATTGTGTATAAAATTTATGTTAAGATTTGGCAAGCAAACGACTAAAATGGATATGGTAGAAGGATCAAAACGAACATTTAAAAATACATGAACTGAAATTACAACAGAGCAGTGGACCTATAGAAAAAAACAAAATGTGCTGCAAATAAACACAAGAAGAGGGAGCAGTGGGTTCAGTGGTCCCATCTCGGATCTCACACCCATATCTCTTTCTTTGTACAAAAGTCTTTGCGTGGAAGCAAAGGGCCAAATAATTTTTTACAATCATCTACAAAATTGTACACTCCCATTTAAAAAGGGGTAAAAGAAGGCTTATTGTTATTGGTATGAATGAGGCAATGTATTATGCAACCAATCACAGATAAAGAGGAGTAGGTTCAAGTTGGCCATCATTTTTATCTATCCAATTTCAATGCTTTATTGCTTCTAAAAAGTGCTTTGAGCTTTTCCATGAATTTGTCTGGGAAGATAATCACAGCAATCACTCCGTTGTGTGGGGATGTTTGTTTTGTTTTGTTTACTCCAACGATCTTGTCGCGATTGAGTTGTAAGGGTGATTTGTATGTGTAGTAGTGTAGTTTGAGAAGTCAAATTCACATTTCAAACTTAAATGTATATCCGAGTTATAAACGCGGAGGAATTAAAATGATGGGATATTACCAACAGAAGAGTCTGTGTAGTGTAGTTTGAAAAGTCGTTTTGAAGCTTATGATCAGTAAATTCACATTTCAAATATAAATGTATATCCAAGTTATAAACTCGAAGGAATTAGAATGATGGGAGATTACAAACATAAGAGTCCAGTAAAAGTGGGGAGACATGTCGGGGGAGGGCGTGGGCCAATGGTTGAGGAAATTTTAGTCATAAGTTATGGGCAAAATTATGAAGCTGAAAATGTTGAGATGGATGGGAAAAGAAGGGCAAAAGAGGAGGTTGTGGTGTTTAACTGCTAGCTGTGTCCATTAACAAATCTTGGGGTCTAGTTCATGGCCTCTTTCTAATGGAATTACTCCCAAATCCAAACCATTCCATCGCAGCAGCAAAGGAAAGAACATGACGCCACGAATTGTACAGCAAATATGAAGATGGATGATTAAACCTTCAATTTCGGCCTGTACAGCTCAAGCTGTAGGCCTTGTTATTCTATTCTCCCCTCAATTGTTGCTGATTTTAGCATGTTTGATTACTTGTAACTGAATGCACTGCAGTGCCCTTGTTTTATAAATATTGCAACATGGATGTACTTTATTTGGGCGTTGTGAAGGTTGTGAGCATTTCTTGTCTTGACTTCTCGTATTTATTCAGAAAATTTGTTGTGGTTGTTAAGATCAGGGAATGATGTTGAAAGATTACCTCAAAATCCTTGGAGCTGTTAAAAGATGGAGAAGTTGGGCTGACATATTGCAATATCATGTAAGTCTCGACTAATAAAATTAATATTTACACCACTTTAGGATGCGTCGATCTGAATATAGTTCAATAGATAAGATAAATTGGTCCACTAAAGAACTAGCTTAAAAGGGGAAAAAAGAGGCTCAAAATGTACAAGGTGGCAGCTCATTATACACAGAATCGCGTTTTCAAACCCAGTGTCTTATCTGCAAAACAGTACCATGTGATTTGCAGGACTAATTTATTATACAAGGAGTGATGATCTGTGATTTCTGCTAATGGGTAGGTGAACATAAACCTCATGGACATCTTGTTTACACACTTCACCTCTGTCCCTGTCGATAGCATAGCACACATACACGGTTTCGATTACATTATCCAGTACGTGGATGAAGAATGCAAGTACCACGATCAAGAGCAGCCATGCTGCAACAGCCACAAGGTATGTATTGACCCCGAGATGGCCCACAACCTGTAAGATAGCACAGGCCTACAAATATACAATGTGAAGGGAATATGAGAACTAAGAGCAAAAGTAAACTAAATAATGTTCAGTTCAAGGTTGATCAGAATAAAAAGTTGAGCTTTTCTGCATCATAAAGAAAGAAAAATCTCTGACTTGCATATTAGTTAAACAAAAATATAGCCATTTTTCTGTCTACGTACCACAATTGCATAGATGGCTGAGAGGACAAAGGCAATTCCAACTAATAAACGCGAGGAGATTGTCTCCACGAAAACAGTTGAGAGCAGATTTCGTTTCAAGAGTTCATATGTCATTCTTGAAGATGAGCAGTAAGATTCACCAGTTATTGCTGCAAAAGTTATTGCAAATTTATTCAGATAATCAACAGCTGCCAGAAATGTATTTACGCAGCAACGTAAAATAAGGTTGAACATCCCGGGAATATCTTCTTGTCTTGCGCTATCGACCACAGCACGAACTACACGCACCACAAAGATTAGTAATCCAGATAAACATACAGTGCCAGCGGAGGGTCCAAATGCATTCCTGCACAATGGGGATTGACCGTCATAAGAATCAATAATCATAGATGATGTCATGATATTTCATCTGATAAAGAGGCATTTATTAATTTTTGGAAAAAATTGACACCACCTTCCTGAACCAAACCCTGTCTGATATGCAATGCTTCAGTACAAAATAAAGTGGCCCCCTCACATTAAAAAAAAAATACTAAACTCACAGTTTGAGCAGTCCACAATGACAACTGAAAAGAAAAGAAAATCAAAGACAGTGGGAATAAAATGAAATAAATCCCAATTGATATGAGGCATACTCATCTAGAAAAAGAAAAGGCAGGTGAGTGAGTTAATTAATACAACAAACTAGGGAGAAAGGTGACGACAAAAAGATGAGTATCTTAACCAAAGAAAAGACAGTTTCAAATTCCAAAAGGCGACAATGTTTGGCACCTTCAGCCTTGACTAAGGTTGAATCTATGATAACGACATATCATGCCATTCTTCTAATAATATTTTCAGTACTCTTCCATCCCCCTCTTTCCTGCATCATTTTGATATCAGAGCCAAATTTAGATCCAAATTCTAAATTTCTTTCCCTCTCCTTTCAGTTTCCCATGACTTTCTCCTAAATTAGCTCTATTGCTCCATATCTGTTCTATATCATACGTGATACCAGAGGCTATTGCCCTTTCTTTTGCCATTATGTGATAAGCTCTCACCACTCTCTATACACCTATCCACAAAGGAAGAGGACAAGGAGAATGGGCAGGACGGAGGCTGTTAGGGGCTGTTTACAGTGGAGTGCTGACAGTTATGTAATAGACTAGTTGAGCAGCTTAAAGAGTGGAGAGAATAAACGGTACTGTGGCGGTTGGGGACAGGAAAAATAGATTAGTAAAATATTTTCAACCATATGAATAGTGTTGAAACTTGGAAATTTCTTTCCCCATAAAACAAACTATTTCGAGCCAGAAAGGAAATTTGAACATATTGAGTGAAATTTGTCAGCCGTATTGATTGTCTCCATGATAGAGTCCAAGTTCCTTTTTAAAGCTTGCTCCTCAGGCCGGCAAGCCTTCTTTAATAGTAATTTACTGGTGAAGTTCCTGATGGATGAAGGGCCCAAACCAGTGTTGCATTGGTTAACAAGGAGAAAAAGAAAGAAAGGAAAAAAAATAAATTTAGTGGCTTTAATAAGATGGAAATACTCCCATGAAAATTGGAAAATTCATCCCATACCTCGATTAAAGAAACAACATTATATAAGAAGGATCCGTAAAGTTTAGAGCATGTTTTGTGGGGCCGTCAATTTGCTTAGGCAATTTAAGATGACTTAGAAACGTTTGGGATTTTGATATGAGTCTGATGGAGGTGATCTTCTTCCATCCTCTATTTTGAGATAGAGGGATTGCTCTTTGGCATGCAGCCGTTTTCAAGATCTTATGGAATGCACGGCTAAGGCTTGAGAGGAACATGAGGGTTTTTACTTTTTAGTGATGTGGGGGTCCCTTGGAGGAGGTTTGGACCCTGACTAGGTTCAATGCTTCTCTTTCGGTCTAACTTACTAAGAATTTGTTGATTGTCCTTTTATCTACTAGCTCTCATTAATTTGAACTGGAGCCATTTTTGTTCTCAGCTCCTTCTTTCAAGCTTTGCTTTCTTTTCTTCTTTTTTTTGTATTGCCCTTGTGCAATCTTGAAAGCTAGTTTTCTCATTAAAAAAAGGAATTACTAATAAATCTTATTTCACTAACAATAATAAAAGTAATTAACTTATTCGTAATGCAACTAAATTAAAAATCAAAATAATTTTATAAACTAATTATCTCTTTTATTTACTTCCTACACTCCTCAAAATCCTAAACAACAAGGCTTCACCTCAGTATTACCATATCCACTAAGACCCAGTTTCTTAATCCCCTGCACCTTTGGCTTGGACACTCATCTATTTTTGGAACTGCCTGACCATGAACTCTAGGCAATAAGAACTTCCCAAGTTGATTGAAGCACCACTACCTTCCCAAAACATATATGCCACTATGCTCACCAACCTTGGGAGTCGAGAAATCTCGATGGAATGCTTTTGTTGTGGAATATAGGAGTGTACAACCAGTGTCCGTTTTAGCACAAAACCGACGCCAACCACCGCCATTCGGTTTTGGCCAGTCAGAAACATTTCTTTTTTTGAGCTTTCGGTTATTAGGGTTGGCTTTTCGACTTCATCTATGCACCCCTAGTGGAATACTCCACCACGGAATCCTAATACCCCCAGCCCTCATCTCTTGATTAAAACCCAAAGTCACCTAATCTGTACTTCCTTGCTACTATAAACTTAAGCCAAAGTTCCACTGCTCCATCAGGAACCTCCCTACCCATTTCAGCAACAAGGCTTCATTTCTCTTTTTGAAACTCCTACACCCAAGCCTCTTTTTTCCAAAGATCCCCAAGATATGTCGGAATTATTCCATTTTGCAAGCTTCCTCAATATTCCTTTTTCCTCCCACAGTTATAAAAGTTCAACAACCTTCAGATTGTACCTTAAAGGTACTCCCAAATCGGTCCTTAGCCGTGAACTACAAGTGCACCCTTAGCACTAAGCAGTCTCATTAACCCTCTCTCTTCATCTAGATTGATTCCCAAGACTGAAGACTTAACAAGGTTTACTTTGATTCCTAGAGCAGTTCCATGGATCTTCAACACTAGATTGTTGATTTTATCATTGTCCTCAGAAAAAGCAATGCGTCACTAATGAATTAGAAACGAGCAAAGTGAATTCCTCTCTACCAACTCAAATGCCTTCCAACATCCAGCCAGAGCTCCTTGGTCAAGTCATCAACTCAGTATATCACAAATAATCACGAACAGAAAGGGGGAGATGGGATCCCTTTCCGTCAAGACCAATATCTATCCACTTGCCTCTCCATTGAGGAGGAAAGTTTAATTCTTGAAATGCAACCTTGCATTCAACTCATCCACCTTTGCCTGAATCCTTTCTTACTCAACCAACAACAATTCCAATTTATCAAATCATTTGCCAAGTTTTACGGAAGTATCTTCCTTGAGATTGAAGGTTCAACCCCACACCCACGTTTGTTCGTACTAAAAGAATTTAGGTCAAAGAATTTAGACCGATCAGTCTTATCTAACCCATATGAAATCATACGAATATGAACTCCGTCCTTATTGCAAATGAGAAAGTGGAGCATGGGAAGAGAATGATAAAAATCAATAAATCTCAAATAATTTGACCACACCCTGAGTGAGACTTGTGAATTTGATAGCAAAACGAATCTTACATTGGCAAATCAAGAAACTAAAAAGTCATGTGATTTAATGATTTACACTCTGGGTCAACAGAACAAAATTTAGCAGAAAACTAACCTTAAAGAGTTCCTAATGCTCCGGCTTGGAGTTTCGCCCTCTTCTTTCGAGAAATACCACTGCGATATGGTACCACTAATCACAAAAACTTGTCCTTCAACCATTACAGCAGCAGACCACAACATTGTAAGAATCGCCAATGCATAGTAAGCAGGTACCCATTTGTCTTGCTTCCAAACACAACTATACTCTCCACTTGATCCATGGTGATGGGGCAAAATTTTCCCATTCAACCTCGCAAACACCAAGAACAAAACGATTGGTACATAATAAATCAGTAGCCCCAGAGTCATACTCGGTGTGGCCACAAACAGACCCAGATTCATCGACAGTGCGTTCGAGGCAACCCCAATTATTCTAACCGTGAGCTCAATTCGGTGCCAATTAACGACAAATATCCACACGATTACGCCAATTACCAAGAATATGAATATGAGTACCAAAATCCTATAGACCATCGGGAAGTCGTTGCTACAAGTTGGGTTAACCGTGCAGGCCACGAACCAATAGACATTAATGAAGATAGGAAGGAGCACGAAGAGAGGAAGTAAGGTGTACACAATCTGTCTGGTGTAGTGCTTGAGCAAGAGAAGCAAAAGAAAGCAAATGGGTAAGCTCAAAATCAAAGTCGCAACAAGGGTCCAAATCAAGGATTGCAAAACAGAGGAAGAGGAAGAGGAGGAGGAGTAAAGGAAAACCCAATTGGGGGATGAAACAGAAAGTGGGTCTTGAACACAATTGGCAGCTTGGTAATCATAGTAATAAGAGGAGAGGTTAGGGTAATCGGTGTTCCTATTGAAGGTAGCGAAAATCCCAAAACCAAAGGACAACAAAACGAAGAGAATAAAGAGAACAAGAACAGGGATGTCCTTGAAAGGGCGGTGGGCATAGTTGTAGGAGATCTGGAGGTACTGAGAAGGGTCGGATTGGGGCGGGTCGTCGATTGAGGGATATGGGTAGAGAGAAGGAGGAGGGGGGTTGGAGAGGAGGGGCTGGGAAGGTGAAGAGGAGTCGAAGAAGCCAGTGGGTTTGTTGGGTTCTTCGGAGGAAGCCATGGGAGGAGAGGAATTGAAGTTAGAGAAGGAGAAGGTGAAGAAGAAGAAGGGGGTGAAGTTAAAACATGGTGGACTGTGGAGTGTGGACTGTGGTGGGGTTTACAAATTACACAAACTACAAATTACAATTACAGCAGAGGACGAGGATGAGGGTAAGAGGTGAAACTTGAAAGTCCACCGCACCGCGAGGGAACGTGAAACACGAGTGCTTTCAGAGGAGCCAAGAGGTGGAGGTTTCAGAATCAGTAGCGCCGCGGCGCTGAAGTTCTACTGGGAAGAGCTGCACATGGAATTGGAGATAGGATCAAGAGCTGGCTCCCACTGGTGACTGGACTCCGCCAATTGCAACTTGCAAGACACGTACCCTGCAATTTTTTTAATTTTAATTTTTACCACCAATTCATTGATTATATATAATATATATATATATAAATTCTAATTTATATTATATGTTTATCATGTTAATAATCTCCACAGGCCTTTATGTCTTGAATGCTCAGTAGAATTGCCAATCGCTCTCAAAGGATATATTTTCACTCGTATTAAAAAAAAATATTATAGATTTATGCCGTGTAAATCTTAATATTACTAAATTTAAAAGCAACCATACCTCGCTTACCTCTCTATTATTTTCCAGGTTAAAAAGCGTTGGTTCCTAAATTTTTAATTTTTGTATTTAATAAATCTTTATTGTTGTTGTCTGAATATGGAGCAATTAATTAAGATATTAATAAATTAGTTAACGTTAGCAGCTTATAAAATACGTTTAAAGACAAAATAGATTCAAATACATGACATTTTAGTCGAAGATACATGACTTGATCAATTGAGCAATGCTCAAGTTGGAAAAGGGAAGAAACTATTAATACCGACAAATTTACAATAATTGAGAATTATTCTATGTTTTATTTGTCTTAATAATTTTGTTGGAGAAGTTGATATAATTATACCTAATAAATTTCAGGGTATAGGTTTCTCAACTCTAAAATTGTATTGCTAATCTGAGTTTAGCTCAGCAGCAATTGACGCCTAGTTCTGACTAAGAGGTCATCAGTTTAAATCCCTCACCCCTACTAACTCTAAAAATGTATTGAACTTTTAATTTTATATTTATTGTCTAATAGAATCTTATACTTTTAATTTTGTGAATAACAGGTCCATAATTTTTTTAAAATGTCAAATAGGTCCAGGATTATTAGATACAAAATTGATAGTTCATGAACCTACTGGACAATAAATTAAAATTTGAGACGATTATTAGATTCAAAATAGAACATTTAGAAATTTATTAGATATGAGACTTAAACATTTAATTTAATCCAAATTTTAGAACTATGACATTTAATCTTTTGCAAAAAAATAAAAATAAAAAAAATAATAATATATACAGTTGAGGCTTCGAGGTCAAATTGAAGTAATGAAAGAAAAAAGGGTGTGATGGGATAGGAGCTTCATCACAAGTCAACAAATCAACAAAAGTAATTGAGACACGTTCATAGCATTATTTCAAAGATATAATTTTCCCTTTTTTTTTATTAATACCAAAAGTAAAATACATAAAGTCCACTCCTGAAAATGATTCAGAGCCAATTATTCAAAGGAATCCATTGGCGAATTTGATTAAATATTGAAGATTTATAAATTAATAATCAATCAATAATGATGACTTCAGCATAACTTGAAATGATCAAAGTCAAAAGGAATTAATTTGCATTTTGAAGCTTCATCATCTACAAAACCCTTTGGAGGAAGAGCTTTTTGGCAAAGCTGATACAAAGAGCTCTTTGTTCTTCCAGATATGGAGGTTGAAAAGAGGTTAATGGTTTTTACAATGTTAACTTTTAAAATTTTTGCTAGTTTTGACATTAACTTTGTGTATTCATTTTCAATGTACAGGTCAGAGGATGTTGTGACTATTGATGTTCGAGATGCCAGAGATATGTTACAGAAAGGTTATCTTTATTTAGATGTCAGGTTGAAGCTTCTTTTTGTTTCTGATTGTGTTTGTCAAAATGAGAAAAATAAGATAATGAAGCTGCCTACAATTTAAGCTATGGTTTTGGTTGTATTGTAGGTCAGTTGAAGAGTATAACAAGAGCCATGTTGAGAATGCACTTAACGTACCTTACATGTTCATCACCCCACAAGGTAGAATTTGTTGCTAGTCTCGTAGGTTTGATCCGGTAGAATCTGACTTTTGCTATTAAACAGGCCGAGTAAAGAATCCAGACTTTCTTGCCCAAGTTTCATCTGTATTGAAGAAGGAAGATCATCTGGTTGTGGTAATGAGAAACACTATTCTTTTGATCTTTATATCTCTGATGCAGTTTTCAAGAGTAAAACCAATGAAAATAGCAAAATCTATCTATCTATCTATGCAGGCCTGCAACAGCGGTGGTAGAGCACTACGTGCTTGTGTCGATCTTCTTAATGCAGTAAGATTCGAGATTAATGGAACTAACTTCTCAAAGTTTTCTAGAACTGCAAAAGAAATGGATCAGCATGGAGATTTATTGGGAAATTTCAGGGTTTCGAGCATGTGAGAAATATGGGAGGAGGCTACTCTGCTTGGGTTGACAGTGGATTTTCTGGTAACAAGCCACCTGAAGAGCTCAAAATAGCTTGCAAATTCCGAGGTTGAAATGCCCTTGGCCTTCGGATGAACATCCAAATTTGTCTTAGTTTGTGTTGTCTGCCTGTAAAAAAAACCATAAATTCTACATTTCCAGAAGTTGAGCACATCAAAATGTTGGGGTCACTCTTAAATTGCACACAACAAGGATTTATATTCGATATTAAAGCAGATATACTATTCCTCAAACAACAACAGAGAGGGGATGATTTCTGGGTAAATTCTCTACATTGCACTTTGTTTTATAGATTAAAGTAGTATTGCAATTGCTTCAGAGAAAATTCAAACTACAGCATCAGTAGACTACAAAAAAAACTTAAGCTTGATAAATCTTGGGTTGATGAATGCTACATACATCTGAGAGAGTCTAAACTAAACTTCTCTTTGGGTTCATCATGACTTCTATAATATTGTTTACATACAAGTAGACATTAGGGGAGTGTCAAAAAGAAACTTGAAACCCAAAAAATGAGAAACAAGAAAATTAATAAACGAAAATTTGCTGTTGTTAATAACAAACACTTTCATCTTTCCTCATCCCACTTGCTCTTGGGGATCTCTCCACTGTCAGCAATGGTAACCTTCTTTCTAGGTTTCCCATTATAGGTTCCAGCTCCTCCTTCAATTGCATATACATAATCCATCCCTTGGATAACCTTGCCAAAGACAACATGTTCACCATCTAGCCTGGAAAGAGTATACACATATGACAGCTGACATCATCAGGGCCAATGTCGAATTAACTAGGCGTCGTGATCTCAAATAATATTAATATTTCAAAACCATTCCTTGTCAATAAAATAGTAAAAGAGTTATATTCAGCACTCAATTCCAACAGGTAAGTATCATTAAATAATCTTCCAATGACCTTCAATTAATATTCCTTGCAAGGGGGAAGAAAACATTACCAGCTGGACTTAATGGTGGTTATGAAAAATTGTGAGCCATTGGAATCCGGTCCTGAGTTTACCATGGAGACAACACCTGTTACAAGACATCCATTCATAAGAACTGTTGCCATAAACTGGAAGATATGACACTTTTTAGTCAATAGACTAAGACTAAGTTAACAGCCATTTGAAAGCTCTGAGCTCAAGACCTGCATGTGAATGTTTTGTTCTGAAATTTTCATCAGCAAATGTACCACCATAGATAGATTCATATCCTCTTCCGTCACCGTAAAAAATATCACCACCTTGAATCATGAAACCAGAAATAATGCGATGGAAGGGCGTTCCCTTATAATGGAGTGCTTTTCCAGTAGTAGTTTTACCTTTCTCCCCTGAATTTCGAGCAAGTTTAGAAAATATAGGAAAAAGAATTAGGGAAAAACATTTAGTACACAAGATTCCTCATACCTGTGCACAGAGCCCTAAAATTTTCTGCACAAAAAAACACGAGTTACAACTTTAAATAAAATGTGATCATAATGTAATAGGATCATATTGCAAGTTCAAACTGGAAACTTCAGAATTCAATTGTAGAAAACAAACGATGAACAATCACACTGCAAAAAAGTTGGCAAATTTTACCATCTCTTAAACAGAAACTAATCAGAAGTAACTGAAAATATTGTCTTCTTTTTACTGGAGTGAACCAGAACGACAAGTGAAATAAGGAGCAGCAAGATAGGTTTCATTCACACTTCCAGGACTACTGTTGAGTCCTAAAGTAACTGAATACAAACATCCCTCCTTGGTAGCATGGCCCATGGCGAAAATTTCCCCCCTTCTTGTTGAAACTCTCTCCTTTTCCAATGTAATTTTAGAAGCTAAGAAGTAAAAACTTTGAATTTAAATTGCCCTTTTCCACATCAGGTGGAAGTCAAGCGGAGATCTAAGTCCACTGAGAAAACCCAGTTTTGTTGCAGGCATAAAAATCCTAACTCTTGCACATCAAACCACGTACATTGTTCACAGGTCATACGTGTCCATGAACAAACTTATACAAAATTAAACCTACTTCGAGATGCATAAAGGAGGCGTATAGCCTCCATCCATTAATGATATGGTGATGGAAGGACATACCTACAGTTTTCGGTACAACCTGGCCATATAATCCAATCACGATTCTACCTACAAAAAGAGAGAAGGAAAAGAAAGAGAGTCCTGTGAGATTTATAAGCAAATATGAAAAAATTTCATCAATATGCTAAAGCACACATGTTTTATTTCACAAATGATTTGAGTGGTCATGGCTCAAGTTCAAAAGAAGTTATACTTACAAGAAAAGAGATAACCTTACCATTTTAAACCTAGTAACAACGTAAAGTATAGGCACAAGAATTTTACCTAATCTCTGTTCTTCAATATCAACGTCCAAGTATACCCTGTGGGTAATTTCAGGATCTTCTTCTAGTTTCTCTTCCCTCTATAATTTACATGACAGATACATATACATTAGTTCACCACAAGGTAATGTTAAACATATTGTTGTTTGAAGTGAAGGGATGATTGCTCCATAAGTCAAATAAAAGACAAACATGCAGAGAAACAACATAAATTCCAGTTTTTAAGCATGCCATCACCCTTAAGCCAGCACATCCAACCAAACCGAAGCATGGAAACATCTTTCTTCTGTTTTTAACAACCATGTATCTTGTGACCAAAACAAGAGATTCGTGGGAAACTTCATTGACAGAAGCCAAAGAATGGATAAATTCTTTTATTCCACAAACTCTCCTACAGAAAGCCATAAATCCAATGAATACAATAGGTAAAACACATCAACAGAAAAGAGCTTTATGCGTTCATTAATTAGTTATCTCAAGACAGGAAAACTAAAACCAATTTGGATAAAAGAAAGCACTCTAAGAAAGATCCCCTTACCAACACTAACAAAACCCCCGAACTCAGGATTCACCAGAAAGGACACATACAGAGGCACTAAACGCACAATAGCAACATAGCTGCCAAGTTTGGTCCATTCAATTCGCACACAAAAGTTCGATAAATTAAAAATTTAATGAATTGGTTTTTTATTTATTGAAATTTATAGTATAGATAAACGACCGCGGGCCAAAGGACAAAACTCACCTTTCTTGAAAAATGGAAGGGAAGAAAAAGCCCCTTCATTAGAAGTTAGAAAGAGTCCTCTAAAGAAGGATGCCTGAACAAGTGGGATAATCCCCACAGCTCAACCACCATACCATATCATGTTCTAAAGGTCAATGTGTGCCATTATGCTTCCACAAAGTTGAAACTACCAAAAGCCCACGTAGAAGTAAACCAAGTTGTTGGACTTGGACAACGTAAAGTTCCATGATTGGACAAAATTGACACGGATCGTACAGAAACAAACCAGAGTTGGACAATGAAGAGCTTAATGGAAGCATAGTTTACACTTCCACCGACAAAACCAACCACGATGTATCATAAACAAGGGAGGTAGAAGTAATGCACAGTCAAGCGCCGTAACATGAATCCCAATATTCAGAACGAATCCGGGGGAACAGCAAATGATAAGCTAGCTACCACACGCAACAAACTCCAAGACACGATAGTGGCGGATAATAACATGTACCCATGAGCTCAAATTACATATTGGATACGACTACAGCCAAATATCTGTTACTTCCACGGATTCGCAATCGGATCCGAAATAGGGGGAGCAATAGAATTTCTGAAAAGGAGCTAAAACATACCTGTTTGGGAGTAAACAGCGCGAAAACGAGGAAAACAAGGAAGACGATGAAAAGGAGGAGGCATCGTGGCTGAAACAACACAGAGAATCCTCGAGGCATCTTTGTCGTGGCTCTCTCTTCAAAGTTGAAGCTTCAGTGGATCAGCAACAATTTTCCGCATACTGAGAACTCCATTTGGGGATCTCGATTCGCCCACTAGCAAGTTAATTGATCGAGAAAAGTACCAAATGCACTCAATAATCAATATGTCAGTCACCGTTGGAGCGGGAACTTGGCAGCAATTCGATCCAATTCGCGGCTCTGCGGGCGACAAAGATAGAACTCGAAGTCGACTCGACTCGGTGACTCCCCTTAATTTAATTTAATTTTAATTTAATTTCTCCCCCTTCGTAAATTACCATTTAACACTGCACCAAGCCACTAGTATAATATTAGGCTTCCTACAGTATTATCATGATCATTTCAATTTTGCAGGTATAAGCAATTTGTGAGCCCAATGTATGATAACATTTCTTACCCAATTCAATTTAAGAAATTTCACTATTAGATATTCTTAAGATTTTTTTCAGGTAAAATACGAAAAACACGTGGACACGTGTGTTCGAGGTCCATTCCAAGGACGAGGCTAATGCATTTTAAAGTTAAACTTAATCCGCTTCGATTCCGACCTGAAAAGCTCCTGATTAGTGTGAATCCACTACATTCGACATTGAAGGAAAGGAATAAAAGTTAAAATTTGAGAGTTGAGAGTCCCACTCTCAAACATACTATAAACATACTACGTAGTATATGTGGTGGTTTAACGTATATATTGAGGAAGTATTTAGTTTTCCTTTATAAAAATTAACATATTTATATCTTTTTAAAGAAAATTATAGATGTTTTTAATTATATATATAAATAATAAGTTGAAACATATAATATATAATAAGTAGACATTTTAAACAAAAAAAAATCACATGAGGGAATATTCAAATGCCAACCATGGGGCTTGGCCTCCTGCACCAACGTACAATTTTGTAAAGTTAAGTCAATTATCTAGTAATAATACTGAGTATTTAGAAGTTAAGTGGAATTCAAGACCTACGGTTGATTTGTTCCATTTAACTTAAGTTCAACCTGACACTAATTTGAACTAAATACTGACTTAATGTTCGGAATATATGCGATCGAGCACAACATCAGTGCAAGTTTCATTTGAATTATGGGAAAAGATTGGTTAATAATGTAAACTTGAACAATTATGCATAAACTTCCAAATATGATGATTTTTTTAGTTATTATAAAAAATGTGGGGATAGGATATCAAATCTCCGACTTGAGTAAGATGACTTGATGCTGAGCTAGACTCATATTGGTAACTTCCTGATATAATTGTTACCAAATAAAAGTGGGAGATTTAATTGAGTTCCGAATAAGATCAAGTCAGCTAAATTAAAATTGTTCCTTTTAAATGTCAATTTTTTGTTTTTTTCTTGTATTGGGTTGGATCAGATTTGGATTTGAGATTGGGCTTGTCAAAGGGGTTGAAAGCCCACGAATTGAAACACCAAAATCTACCAACTTACTAAGCAATTGGGTCTTTTTACTTTTGACACGTGACTACTTTTTATTTAGAAATACGTGATCTTTTTGGTGGAGCACGTGCTGTCCTCTTTTTTCTTTTTTTGAATACCACGTGCCGTGGGCGTCTTATTACTTTGTTGAACGTATACCTATACAGTATGCTAAATTAAAAAATATATATATATATATAACCCCTGAACTTTGTAATTTATTTATTTATTTTTAAAACTTTGTTATTTATTTAAAAATACTATTATCTTTTTCAAAAAAAACATTTTAAAAGATACAATTTGATCCAAGAATACAAATTTGACAGAGTAGAATTTGAAACGACGTGATAATTTTTAAAACAATAACTTTTTATATATTAATTGTCATATTTAATCCAAACAAACTTTCACATAAATTTCCATGTCTTCCAAATTCTATCCACGTCGACTTTTCTTTGAAATATTAATGGAGGT